TCTATCTATCTATCTATCTATCTATCTATCTATCTATCTATCTATCTATCTATCTATCTATCTATCTATCTATCTATCTATCTATCTATCTATCTATCTATCTATCTATCTATCTATCTATCTATCTATCTATCTATCTATCTATCTATCTATCTATCTATCTATCTATCTATCTATCTATCTATCTATCTATCTATCTATCTATCTATCTATCTATCTATCTATCTTGATCCTATAAAATGCAGCTGACTCAGCTGGAAATGAAAAGCGCGACTTGTGCATCCTTCCCCGCTCTTTCTTTTACTGCTTTCATGTTTTCGCAGGCGTAATGTACAAGACGGATATTTCACTTCACGATGAGTCACGCAACCAAGTGGAGGCCAAGCAACGCGTACGGTTCAATCGAGGAAGGGAAGCAGCGAACGAACGGGACTCGAGTTCCGCTGTTCCTTCTGAAGAGGGTCTAGAAAGGAAGCGAGGACTGTCGCTCAGGAGAGACGTTGGATTGTTCAGCAGCATTACCTTTCTTCTCAGTGCGACTATAGGTGAAGAACATCCACCTTTACGTCTCTTTTGCCTTTTCCTCCCCTTATCAGCTACCGACATTAGTTCCGTCTTATTCTCTCGCCTTTATTCTGAGGTTCCATCCAGCATAGAAGCAAGCTAGTGGCAACTGTTGCATTAGGCCACCTTGTTTTGTTCTTGACAGTGCTACGAAAACTAGAAGCACACTGCTGTCTGTGATGTCGAATAGCGGTAAAGTGTGTTCGTGAGAGTCAGCTGAGGTTACGCAGCATATATTTAAATCATACGACTGCGGTGCATATTTTTCGTATATTATTATGTATTCATTGGCAATTTTTGGTGTACTTATCTCCGTTTACAATGGTGTAACTCAAAAATAATTTTGGGGGCTTCGTCGTAGATTTTTCTGAAGTTACCAGGGAACTCTGGTAATAGTTTTTATGCAAGCTGCAACGCACGGCACTTCAGCCAGCATTTTAATGATGGGGAGTACACAAATTTGTCTAAGCTTCATTTTTCCGGCTCCATCTGGCTATATGTGGCGTAAATCTGCTTTGCCGCCAGACATAGTGCAGCAAAGGCTTAGCAATAACATTTCACTACCTTGAACTTCTTAGACTCACCAATTCAGATCGGGCCATGATGTTTCCAGTGATCAAAAGTAGCTGGTTCCAGTGTCATAGTCAGGGGGTGAAACACTTAGTCTGTGCCCCTCCAGTCCTCGACCGAATTTTTTTTTCGTCGTTGTATAGAGAGCAATGCATGACCATTTCAAAAATATAACACCCCCTACCACAAAATATTTCTGTCCATGCCCCAAGCTAATGCATCTGCTATGAGGAGCGGGCCAAAATCTTCTGAAGTATACCTCTGCAAGTTAGTGCTCAACTGAATGATGTCACCTCTAATGAACTTGATTGTTGTATTCTTTTACTTAAGTGTCATACTTAAGTTATGCGACTTAAGGCTTCGCAGATGTCAGCAAGAGCACAGTGACACGTTCACTGGTTGTCTTAAAAGATTTTCGGGTGAATATGTCAGTAACTGCGTACTTAATGAACACATCTGTGCAAAAAAGCATGGTCGCCTAATGAGGTATATAGGTTTGCAAACTGAATTAATGAATTCTTGCTACTATGGCTGATACAGGAAAGTACTCAATAAATGTTCGAAGATATACGCTAGCATTGTAATGCTAATTCATCTTAAGTAATAGATAATCTTTGCCTGAATGAAAAATGATGTTTAATAAATGAACTTTGTTACTCCTCCGTTTAAGGTACGGGCATCTTCATAACTCCGGGAAGTGTACTCAGGAACTCAAAATCTATAGGTATCGATCTTCTCTTGTGGACAATTGGTGGACTAAATGCACTCGTAGGTAAGCTAAAAGCATAAAAATTACTTTCACCTTACTTGGGCGAAAAAAGGTCGTTCTGCAGAAGGCTGCAGCTGCACAATGCCTCGTGTGCAATGCTGCTCCATTACTCTAGGAGCAAGCGATTGAAACACTCGTAGTAAGGAGTAAAAAACGAGAAAGTTATCGCGTCATGACTACGCGGTAACAGACGACCTTCTGGCAGAACCAGGGTCGTCTTCAATTCTTCTAATCTAGAGCAGGGAACAAAAACTACCAGACAGAACGGCATCTAAGGCAAGACATGCAACACATTAAGAAATGTTCAGGCGCGCTTAATATGACTTGCAACATAGGAGCAAGTGGGCTCACGAGTGGAACGGTTGTGCATGACTTTTAACTCTTTTTGTTTCAACAACTAAATATTATTTTGTTGTTTGGGATAATGTTCAAGTGTGAGAACCGCCTTTAGTGATGGAAAAAAGTCACGCGCAATCTTGAAACTGGTAAGGTCACGTGTTCCCGTATTACTATTAATATTGAGCACGACTGTACAAGAGTTTTCTCGATAGTTTATGTGCGGAGGCTATGTCATGTATCTGGTTAGCGCAAACATGGCTGAATGTCGTCTGGGGACAGGTTACTGTTGAATAACGATTGGCGCTGTTGACTAGAGTTTGCTAAGTACTAGCTTGTTGGCTAGTACCAAAGTAGCAAACAAAATATTTATGCATCCCCACAAAAAGAATCATAATGAATGGGCAAAGCTAGGCCGTAAGATTCAGAATGTATACGTTGAAGTCGAATACTAGTATAAAGGGTTTATGTTTGTAGGTGTTTTTGATGGTTCAGTTCTAATAATAATTAACCTATTACTAAACCTTTTTTTTTCAAGTATACCATGCGTTACCACAGCGTTGCCCCAAGTAATGTATCCGTGACAATGGACTCTGAACGGGCCTCGCTTCTAAGGTGGTTCGCCTCTTAATTTTAAACCACTCAATTCGCGGGAGTTAAAGATCGCCGCATGGTGCCTATAGGTGAGCACGAGGACTCGTCACCAGGGCCCAGGAGGTGAATGCACTAGAGGATTCCTGGTATGAATGAACCTCCCACCTAGGGTGGTGCCGAGCTTTCGGGTTCGGGAACACTGTTTGGGGACACTAAACGTTTATTTCATCAAACTCATTCCTCTTGACTAAATCATTGGTAACAGCGAATGTGAGAACAACATACATGCACAGAATATAGTGCAATACTAACAAAAACGCCGACCAAGGTGAAATACAGAAAATTCAAAAAGACGTTTCGGCTCCCCACACGGGAGCCTTGCTCACAGTGACCGCAAATGGCGTAGTGCGCTCTTCTTATGCATGTTTCATCACGTGTTGCAGACATCGCGCGTACACAGGATGGAGTGTCCCAATATTTCTGTTCAACGTATGCGCAGTAGTTTGAATAGCCAGAGATTCCAGGTGCAATCATGGTAACAACTTTCTTTCCGTGGCAATGATGCAGGCTTTATCCCAGTCGACAGCGTGCCCAGTAGACGCAACATGTTCTGCGAGGGCATTAGAAGCTACTTTCTTGTTCTTGACGTCATTAAAATGTTCCCGGAGCCTTCTTTTGTAATTGCCCGTTTCGCCAATGTATCCGTATTCACAGTCTTTGCAAGGAATTTTATACACCATGCCGGGAAAATTATGTCTCTCCAACTTATCTTTGACATTTGTAAGACGGCCTCGGAGCTTTCGTGTCGGAACGTGAGCCACTTGGATGTCGTAGCCGCACAATACCCGAGCGAAAGTCTCCCTGAAGCCTGGGACGTAAGGCACCGATGCGCATTTTCTTGTAGCAATGGTGTGTGACTGAGCCGGACGCTGCAGTTGTCGCTGCATCGAGTTCACGAAGCAAAGCGGGTATCCGCAAGTAGCCAGTTCCCTTCGAATGGACTGAGCATCTTCTACTGCGTCTTCTTCCTTAGAACAAATCCTCAAAGCGCGCTTTACGAGTGTAGACACAACAGAACGTTTATGGCAGGATGGGTGCACAGAATTCAAGCTTAGAAAACGACCGGTGTGTGTTTCTTTTCTGTGCACGCTGAAAGTCAGGCGCCTACCGTCTCGTTTCACGAGGACGTCAAGGAACGGAAGGCAGCTGTTTGATTCTTCTTCCATGGTAAACAGTATCGCGGCTTCCACGGAATTTAGCTGTTCCAAGAATACTAGCAGGGCATCCCGTTGCAAAACACAGAGACAATTATCCACGTATCGAAGAAAGGACCACATATCGAAGGAAAGTACACAGGGGGACACTCCCCCCTGTGTACGCGCGATGTCTGCAACACGTGATGAAACTATGCATAAGAAGAGCGCACTACGCCATTTGCGGTCACTATGAACAAGGCTCCCGTGTGGGGAGCTGAAACGTCTTTTTAAATTTTGTGTATTTCACCTTGGTCGGCGTTTTTGTTATTTTGCACTCTGTTTGTCCCCGACCAGATGGTAGTTCCGTCGGACACTTGACTATATGCACAGAATACGGTAGAGCTAGGCTAGTGCATCGCCTACCGACACTTTTTAATGCCTTGAAAGCATACGGCAATGTTCGCACCAAACTCCACCTTTGGCTGGTTGGCTCACGGCTTCTTGGAGGGAAAATATTTTAGCGCAAAGCAACAAGCGGACAGTCCCGTCTTCTTTGTCACCTTTGCCACAATGCCCCGTTCCCTCTGCTTGTCCGGGTATGGCTTTGCGTTTCGATATTTTTCCATCGCGGAGTCGAATCAGAATTGCGAGATTACCTGAAGAAGCGGTGAACTCCTTCCGTTTCACGAAAGCTTACTGTTTCACGTTTTGTGCATCATGCTGAAACGATGTTTTGGCGTTCATTGCGAGCAGTCGTACAGTGACTTTTACATTTTCTGTAGTTTATTTCGGTTGTGTCTCCTCTACAATAAGTAAAGCTGTGTGAAGCCCACTTCATAGAATAATTTGCTCTCTGTAAGACCCCTGATCAAGCCAAGCCGTTTCCATAGCTTTTCGCCTGTGAGTCCCCGAACGAGTGCGTTGGAAATGAAGTGGACCCTGACGTTGACGAGCATTTGTGCTCTGCTCAGGTGGTCTATGCGCTGCCGAACTTGGTGCGCTTCTACCGGCATCAGGTGGCGACTACACATTTTTCCTCGCCGCCGGCAGGCCGTACGGAAAATACGTTGACATACCGGCCTTTCTTTCCGCCTGGGGTTCTTTTTTCGTGGATCCTGCGTACGTGACTATACAGGGATTGACCTTCGCGGCATACGTGCTCAGTCTACCGTACCCGGACTGTGTTCCGCCCAACGAGCTGCTTGTCTTGGTCGCCTGTCTGTTCATCAGTAAGCATTCTTTGTTGTACCGACATGATTTTTAAACAATTTTACAAGTTAGATTTCGGTTGATATGTGGGGTTTAACATCCCAAAACCACTACATGATTATGAGAGACGCCGTAGTGGAGGGCTCCGGAAATTTTGACCACCTGGGGTTCTTTAACGTGCACCCAAATCTGAGCACACGGGCCTACAACATTTCCGCCTCCATCGGAAATGCAGCCGCCGCAACCGGGATTCGAACCCACGCCCTGCGGGTCAGCAGCCGAGTACCTTAGCCACTAGACCACCACGGTGGGGCAAGTTAGATTTCGGTGGGCGTGGGGGCCTGTTCCGTGAAAAATCTGGCGCAGTACTGTCTGCAAAAATATGGCTCTACACAAGTAGTCTTTTGAATGTGCGCCGTTCACAAGCATCTTTAATAACGATAATTAAAGTCGGGCGTCTTAAGACCCAAAACCATGATATGGTTATGATGATCATGATGATGAAAAACATTTATTCAGTAAGTTACGTACAGGGAGGGTGGGGAACGGTCCCAAAGGGGCCGCCCCGTATACACACTAGATGGTCACCCCTTCACGGGAGGTCATTGGCGTCAGCCGCGGCCCGGGCACCCTCAACCAAGGCCCGTTGGGCATGACGATAGTTATAGCGCGAGAACGAAACGACGACACAGAGACAAGAAGGACACGAGCGTCCTTCTTGTCTCTGTGTCGTCGCTTTGTTCTGGCGCTATAACTATCGTCATGCCATACCAACTAGCCTAAGCTGCCACACTTCCCGTTGGGCCGTCAGGTTCGAGCAGCCGAGCAGGGCTGCCTCCCAGTCCTCCCGGGAAGGGTTAGATAGAGAGGTGAGATTAAGATTTTTTTTGACGCGCCTACATCATGTGGAAAACGTCGGAGAAATTTTCCTCGCAGTGCGAGCACTTCCCCGTGCAAGCGGGGTTGAAGTGTTTCAAGATTGCCGGGCACAATAAAGTTTTGGTCTAAAGGCAAAAGAAGGGTGCACTTCTTTGCTTTTGTGACGCCCTTACAGGATTCGGGATAGATCTGATGGCTTAATTGATAAAACTGAGTGACTTCAAGATGCCTTAGTGGTGAGCCTTGTAAACTTCGACCATCTCTTGTTCTTTGACGTGAACTAACATTGCACGGGCCTCATCTACAATCTCGTTTTCACCTAAATGCAACCGTCGTGGCCGGGATTGAAACCGCTACCTTCGCGTCACACGCGCCTTCGTAAGCACCACTTTCCAATAACTAATGTGCTCTGCATCGTGGACTTGCTGGCCATCAACGATTTCTCATATTCGAATCAGATTTTTTTTTTCGCCAAGGTCACCTGTTGTTCCAAGCTGCAGCCTATTTCAGCCTTGCCCTTTACTGCTGCATCTCATCGTTTCGCACATCACGGTGGTCGTTGCCTGTAACCACAGAACTGCTGCGCTGCTAAGCCCGTAAGTGAATGTACGATCGCCGGTATCGAGACGTGATATAGTTTGGAGGGAGCTTTGCCCACTGTGACAAATGTAAAGACTTGGAGGACACCTGAGCTGGACCTTCAAAAGAAAAACGGTATAGCGTCATCTTGCACCGATAGTATCGCCTTCAACAAAGCCACGCGCAAAAAAAAAAAAAACACGTGGACACGCACCAATGATCGTTTTAAACTACCCTGCTATTTCTACAAAATAATTCTACTGTTTTTAGTGCCCACAACGACAAATTTCTTCCTTCAGCGAATTGACGAGCTACCCACATGCATGTCCGTATGAGGTTCCACGCGCAGCTGGACACGTTGCAATGGTTGAACCACTCGAAACCATCCTTTCGTTGAGCATTTACCCCTTTTTTTGACACGTAGTTTCAAATCTGACATCCTGCCAGGCAGTAATACAAGAGTCGAGGAGACTTCACCGACCAAATAAGATTGTTATAGCATTCTAGCTCTTATGAAACAAATATTTGGCTTTTGCAAGACTTCGTGAGAGTGCTGCCGGATGCGTGAACCAAGAAGTATATTTTTGTTTTACTGCCAATAACTACACAATATCGAAAGCAATTAGCGTAGCGATAAGGGTGCGCACAATTTGCTTCCCGTGTTTGAATGCAAACCTAGCCGTTATACCCACATACAGTCTCCCTGCTACACTCTGCCAAGAGTGTAACAGGGAGAATGGCAGAGAGAATGGCAGGGAAAGTGTCATCTTCATTCACTAAGAGAAAGGCACAGTGTCGCAGGATGCAGCGGTTATGTACAGATTTCATTTCATTACAACTTTTTGTCGTGAACTCTGAATATGTCAGAGCTTTTTACGGCATTAGAGAAGTGCATCACACGCTGAATAACTATAGCAATAGAACTAGAGGTCCAGTGAGTGTGCTTCACTGTCGTCACGTTCTGCATGACATCACAAATACAGTTTTGTTTCGAGATTACACGTAGACAACACCACTTTCTTAACTGACCGTGAGAGCGCACTTCATCAAACTCCTGAAAAGTCGAAACATTGTGTGGCATCTTACAAATTAGGCAACGGTTCTCCATGACACCTACTAGCATCCTCGACTTACTTGTGCCTTCTAATGGCGCAATATAATTTAGGGAAGAAGGTAAACTATGTGTTTTCTTTGCTCCTGCTTCTATGCCTCGGTATTTCATGAGAAACATTTATGAATGACGTAGAACTTCAGTTATGGGGTATCAAACACTGCACCATCTATGCAAGCCTTACCAATCACTCTTGCATATGACTAATCCCCTACCCGCAGCTTTGGCCACAGCCGTCAACTGCTTTTCCATCAGGACATCTGCCAAGGTACTGGACATTTTTTCTGGTCTCAAGTGCACCTTCCTGTACGCAGTGATCATCACAGGAGCAATATACTCATTTCATGGCAAGTTTTATAGTTCTAAAGATTCCCAAATTCTCGCCCTGTGTATACAGATATCAACACTAATGTGGGATTTCCTTACTTTCCCGAAATGACAGGCAATCATATCTTCGATTACCAGCCTTCAGGCACTCCTCCTTCGTCCGGAGATATAGTATCGGCACTGTACTCTGCGGTCTATAGCTACAGTGGATGGTGAGATGATTTCATCACTTCTAAGAGCTGTGCAAATTGGCTGGTTGTGAATTGCCTATAATTAGCATTAAGCCTACGTGCAGAAACGAGAGAAGCTAAATTGGAGTATAGCTGCGCCTCCACGGCTAACAGACAAAAGTCGCTTAGTGACGGGACAAGACACACGGGCTACAGAAAGAGCTTCTATGCTGGAATGAAGTCGCTAACATGCCTTTATGCTGAGATTGTGCAATTCGAGCCATATTTATTGTGTGTTTAATAATTGCGATGAAAAAGCCAAGTTTAAAACACGGGGGGGGGGGTAGCATCACTCCGCTTCCTTTTTCTTAAAGAGTAGTAGAAGGTGTGGGAGTTGGATAGTCCCAAGCACCACGTTTGATTTCTTGTTGCTTCTGTCCTATCACTTCCCACTGTTTCAATATCATAATACATAGCTTCCATATTTATAAAATACTGATTCTCTTGCCCAGGACTTGCATCACCTACATCGCTGAAGAAACCAAAGACCCTGGCCGGAACATCCCTATCGCCATAGCCGTCAGCACCGCCATCACCGTGGTCACATACCTGCTGACCAACTTAGCCTTCTTCGTCGTTCTGGACGCCGACAGCGTCATGAGTACGGATGTTGTAGCCGTCGCGTTCGTGCGCGTAGTGTGGGGCCAGGGTATGGCAAGCGTCGTGCCCTTGGTCATCGCACTGACAGTGTTCGGGTCAACGTGCGCCAGTGTGCTCGTGTGTTCGAGGGTCCTCTTCGCAGCCAGCCGACAGGGTCACCTGGCTCACGTCATGTCCTACGTGCACGTGTACAATGCCGTACCGCTGCTAGCCGTGGTGACTCGCTGCTTTTTATCTCTGGCCTTTGCCCTTACCGGCTCGGTCCACTTCCTGATAGAGGCGAGCATCCTTCTGAACAACGTCAGAGAAGCGGCGAGCGTCGTGACGTTGTTCCTCCTGCGCCGCACGATGCCGAACGCGCCGAGACCTTACCGGGTGCCCACCGCTGTCGCCGTGTTGAGGATCGTCGTGTGCTTTGTGCTGGCTACAGTGACCCTAGTCCAGGTTAGGCGGTACGCGTACCAGTACGCCTTACTGGCGATCGTGTTTGTGATGGGGGCTTTTTACTACTACTTTTGTGTTAAGAACAAGCTTCGGCTTCGCGGATATGAAAAGCTGATGGTGTTTCTTCAGAAGTGCTCCAAGTCGGCTCCCTGCACTGAAGAATTGGAAAGCCAGAATGTGTGTTTTACCGATTGTGCATAATAGGCCCGTGTGAATAACATAAGGTCACTGAATATAGTGATGGGCTATAGTACACGCGAATGGGAAAGTGGAGCGTCTAGGGTGGGCTGAAGTCAGATAGGACAATACAGTGGTGAACACATTTGTGAAGACCGGCAAAAGTGGGTGAAGATGATCAATCTGGCATGTAAGAGCAGGTCACCCAGATCAATGAGCGATAAGCTAACGAATCATTCAAGCATGCTCAGTTGAGAAAATATATACTTGATTCATCTATGGTTATTCATGGGTAATGCATATAGTGATGTAGATAAGTTATCCATCGATAGCTGAAGAAAGCAATGTAATAGAAAACTTTGAGGGAGTGTTCGAACCATGGTTGTTCTAGAGCTCAAATTCATGGGCGTCCAGGGGAGCTGTGCGAGTCTTCGAAATTGAAGGCACTAAGCCGTACAGATAACTGATGTTCTTGGTGTTCTGATGACGTTTAGGTTGACCTGTATATTTCGCAATGTTTCGCTCAAAGATGAACCGAAAAACTGATGACGTCGTCCTTTAACGGCATCATGTACCATGGCACTGGACATCTAGTGAGCTAACCACTTCAATTTTTATCACCACTTTCGTTTTCATTGCACCAAATTTCAAACTTCAGGAGTGATATTTTTTACCTAGTTTTGATAGACACTGCTGTTCCTAACCTTTACGGCAGATTTTCCAATTGTGCTGCTTTCAGACTAATTGAAGCTAATGAATATCATGCTGAAAACACTTCTCGAAACGTGAAATGCTCTGTTTTTTTTTTATGAACGGACATTGTTATAAAACATGTTAGCCTTCATTGGTTTTCTCCTGACGAAAATGAAGAGCTTTATGTAAAACAAACCTCTCAGCTCCCTGTTGCAAGCTGTCTAGCACGTCGTGACCCTGGTAAGCTTGTATCATACAACATAAATGTGTTGTTAACGCTTATATATCAAACTAATAAGTCAGACCAGGTCCACATGTCTTCTTGCATGTGAATTAAACGCTATCTTTCACAAATTCACTAACAGTAAAGATTAAAATCTCCAGAAACATGTCACTCTTGATGATGTTTCTTCATAGGGGATTAGGCTTAAATTACGAGTCATCTCCACCATAGCAACATTCTCAGTCATCTGAACCATAGCAACAATCATTTCTACTGAGCATGCAAGTAACACGCAGCGCAAAGCTGACATCGATGCTGTGATGGGACAAGCGTAGTTAGTACATATGCTCATTTAACAGGACGCTTTGTTTGTGTACAAGCGGAGCACCGATAGACTAGAATTTGTGTGAGTACAGCCGCACTTGGTGGCATTGATATGCCTTACATACGTCGGAAAGCTTAACGAATCTACAGTATTTGAGCTTCAAAATGAGCTTACACTTGTTGCTCTCACAGTGTCTACTAAGTCATAAATAGTGCAGGTGCACGTGCATGCACAAATAATGGTGAACATATGCACTTTGACATTGGCCGTTCCATCCAACGGCGGCCTTATTTCTAGACGGAAGTTGCTTATACTATATACTGTAAGCACATTTATCGTACTTCATTGTTTTCACTTGTACATAAGCATCATTGCCGTCATTGGTCTCTCACGTTGCTTTTCTGAGCCGAGGCAGACAACGCGGAATTAATGCTTCTGCTGGCCCTGCCTGGTGAAGTCTTCCTACGTCGTCGTACATCCGTATTCACGGGCTGACCTCGGCCTACGTGTTCAGTCTGCCGCACCCAAACTGCATTTCGCCCAATGAGCTGCTTGTCTCGGTCGCCTGTCTGTTCATCAGTAAGCGACCTCTGGCGTAGCCGCATCCTTTTCAAACGAACATTATGTAATATAGATTTTGACAGCAACGAAAATTTTGTGAAAAGTTTGGTACCCTACTAGTGTGAACAAATAAGGGTGTGCATAATGATTCTCTGGAAGGTGCACCAGTCGTAAATGCAAATCTCTACGCACCATTTTCCAATAAGTGATGTCCTCACGATCGTCTACGTGGCGGCAATCAGCCATTTTTGGTATGAAAACCTTTTTTCGTAGTTTTTGATTGGTATGAAAATCTGATACCAAAATCTGACGGTGCCCCAATCGCAATGTGGGCTGGTTGGTGAATCGTGAGGAATTTCCTGCAGCTCGAGCTCGACGCAATGACAAAAGGAGGTACGAACAATACACACACACTGCCCGACTAGCAAAAACAATGTTTCTTTTTCCAGACTTGACACTTGTATGCCACACTGGATGACCTGGCACTGTGCGCAGCGCTGCTACGTTCAGCCGGGTCGTATAGAGTGCATGAGCCAGTACCGCTGCTAAGTGCACAGTGTAAAAAATTATCCTTGCTTTTGCGAGTAATCTCTTTTGCGGAAAGTTTGGCCTGCCTGCCTGCCTGCCTGCCTGCCTGCCTGCCTGCCTGCCTGCCTGCCTGCCTGCCTGTCTGTCTGTCTGTCTGTCTGTCTGTCTGTCTGTCTGTCTGTCTGTCTGTCTGTCTGTCTGTCTGTCTGTCTGTCTGTCTGTCTGTCTGTCTGTCTGTCACACGATTCAGCCACCTGGGAAAAGTTTAAGCACTTAATTTGTAAATGCCAAGTCATTTTGAGCTGGCGGTTGTGAACATTGTCGATAAAAAAGCAAGATTTGGGCACATCTTGAACACAACTTCAATACGTAGGTATTCGGTGGTGCGTTCCTTTCAAACCATAGATATACTTAATTTTCCAGATCATGGCTGCGGCAAAAATGTGATGCTATGCGCGATAAAAGTGTGACGCTATGTACGAAAAATTTCTTTGCCGACGATATGGTGCTGCTACCTGGCAGTAATACTGGGTTCTACCACCTTCGTCCCCTTCCTGATAGAGGTGAGCATTCTTCCGAACAGCGTCAGGGAAGCGGTCAGCGTCGTGGCTTTGTTCCTCCTGCGTCACTCGATGCTGAACTTTCCGAGACCTTGCCGTGTACTCACCATTGCCGCCATGTTGCTAGTCATCGAGTACTTTGCTCTGGCTACTGTGATTCAAGTTTAGGTTAGGCGGCACGCCTACCAATACACTTTGCTGGCGATCGCGTTTTGTGACGGGGACTCTTTACTATTGCTTTTAGGGGCGAAGCTTTTTAAGGCATGGGTCTCTCCAACCTTCGTTGTCGTACGTAACCACTAGAGGCACATATCGTCTCAGAGCGGGTATATGCCACAGGGGATGCGAGGTGGGCGATGGCAGTACTTAAAGTGTTCCATAGATGAACGCACGGACGGACGCATAAACGGACGGACAGACAGACAGACAGACAGACAGACAGACAGACAGACAGACAGACAGACAGACAGACTAGGAGACGGATGGACAGATGGACGGACGCGCGGAGCGGGTATGTGCCACAGGGGATGCGAGATGGTGGTACTTGGAGTGTTCACTGGATGGACGCACGGATGGACGGAGAGACAGTCTAGAAGACAGACGGACAGATGAACTGACGCACGGACTTACAGACGGATGGCATAGACAGACGGACGGATGGAAGCATGGACGGGCTGATGAACGCTTCGCCCAAGTCATCATCATTGACTTCATGGATATAATGTGATTTTTTTTAGTAATGAACAACTTGCGCATTCACGGATGTGAAATACTGGTGGTGACCTTAAAAACATTCTTCGAGTCAGCAATTGGCCCTAAATAATTGAGAGTCGAGAAGACTATTTTGGCGTAAGCAGGTAATGTGTCTGTGTGACCAATGTAAGCTCGTTGAGTATCCTGATAGGCCCGAATACGCGAGAACGAAAAGTACCGCGTCTATAGTGTTTGAAGCCCGGCAATACAACGATACCGATGCGCAGAGTTGGAAAAAATGGTACGAGTGGACGAAGGTGAAGCACAACATATGATGCCATGGTCCACATCACTGAGGAATGAACCAAACAATAAAGAACCCTAGATTTAAAAAAAAAGATGTGTACAAAAGCATTACCAATGCTGCATTGACGCCTGAAGAAAACAACAAAGAAAGAGGACTTTCTAGGATAGTTCTAACCGTGGTTGCTCTGCTGGCTTGATTGCATGAAAGTGTGTCTTTAGAAAGAATGTTTAACGATTTTGAGTACTTGGTACTCAACTATGGGGACGACACCTTGGTGTTCTCATCAACAGCAAACTAACATGGACTGACCATATCGCACAGCTTACTGCCGATGCAGCCAAAACATTAGGTTTCATCAGAAGATCCCTGTCCTGCTCACCGGCCTCAGTTCGTAAACTCGCCTACAAAACCTACGTCCGTAGTAAACTCGAGTATGCCTCTCCAATTTGGAATTCACACCAATCTTATTTAATAGACGCACTTGAAGCCATTCAAAATCATGCGGCTCGTTTTACACCCTCCCAATACAATTTCCGCACAAGCGTTACTACTATAAAATCATCACTGCCTCTCACCTCTCTGGATTTTAGACAAAAAATAGCACGCCTTTGTTCATTTCACAAACTGTATTTCAATTATTCTTACTTACATGGCTGCCTGCTTCTTCCGCCAATTCGAACTTCGCGCCGTCTCTTCCATTCTTTGAGTGTCCAAAATTTAAAAGGTTCAACCAACGCTTTTAACAAATCTTTTGTCCCGTTAAGAATTGAGGATTGTAATCAGCTTCCAAATGCAATAGCCAACGAACGTAATACTCTGAAGTTTAAAATCTTACTCTAAACTTATTTTACAACTGCACCATCGTACTTTCTGTGTGTAGCCAGTTGCCTTTCTCTAATTTTTATGCCACTTTGAATCATGTTATTAGTTGTATAACGAGTTTTGTAGTTCTTATTGCCCTGTATTTCCAATTCTTGAATTGTATCCTACTTTATGTTCTTGTTCTGTAATTGCCTTTGTGTATCCTTGTTCAACCCCCCCCCCCCTTATGTAATACCCCGTCAGGGGCCCTTAAGGGAAAATAAATGATGTAATGATGATGATGATGAGAGCAGTACACTGGCGACCACTGAG